AGTGGCCATTCATTTGCATATTGGATTTTTGCAATTGATATTTGTGGGCAGCTCTCACTGCTGTCCCAGGGGACATTTAAAAATGGTTTCTGAGTTTGAACTAGGAAATAATCAGACAATAAGATGATGATCTTTTTAATATCTCTGCATCTTTTCCTCAATCATTTCCCCCCTTATATTCTGTTTTGTTCCCTCTCCCATCTGGTTATTTCCCTCTTAACCATCAATCAGCATTCAGTGGACACTGGACATTTTCAGTCCCCTCCACTGTTTTAAGGGTTTTCTTGCCTAAATTATTTTTTGTGCTTCTGCAAACTCCAAGTTTGCTCTGTTGGCTAGGCAAGTGGCAATATTCATAAAACTGAATTACAATTTAGTTTAGTTTTCTGTGTATGTGGTCTTTATGTGTATAAATAACATTTATTTATAATATAGAATACATTCTAACTCTACAACTGTACATGATATCTGAAATATGACAAACTCTTCTAAACTTTATTCCTGTTGAATTTATACCGGTTTAAAAACTCGAAGGAAAGCAAGAAATCAAAGTTTTTGCTGTGCTTTGAAGAAGATCTTTATAGCTTTGAGGTGCATTGTAAAGGAGTATCAGTTCATTCTTGGTCAGTCTGGCTCTTTTGCCATGTGAAAATCATGGACCTGAGCTTGGTGTGGCCTAGAATTTACTCAAATCTGGTGTGTGTGTGTGTGTGTGTGTGTGTGTGTGTGTGTGTGATAGAGAGAGAGAGAGAGAGAGGAGCGCAAACCAGCTGTGATCCTCAGATTAAAACCAACTGACCTTTTTTTCTTGACCTTAATTTATAATTGGACAGCTGGTTATACTAATGACAGATTGTCTTTGTGCTGCTGATAGTCTATTTGAAGCTGTTGTTATAAAATATATTTGCCTATGCAAAGTCTCACGTTAAAGCAGTTAATGCTATCTGCTTAAAATTTCTGTCCATAGGAGTTGTACAGTTAGATCCAGAACACTTTTCTCAAAATACATGTACTATCTCTCTTTCTCTCAAATTGTTGGAAAACATGATTCCTGTCTCCCTCTCCAAATGATTTTTTACAATTGTTGTGTTGTGAGCCACAAAATGGCTTATCTTCTGAGTTTACACCAATAAAACCACAGTTTCATTTTGGACTGTTCCCAAATTGCCACCGTAGTTATGGGCTAGTGCTCATAACTACCCACCCTCAAGGTGAAGGAAGAAAGGCCTTTCCAAGAGGAGATAGGGAACCTGTAGCTCTCCAGATGTTCCACTACAACCCTCATTGCCCCAGCCATTGGCCATGCTTCCTCGGGCTGATGGGAGTTGGAATCCAACCACATCAGTGGGGCCACAGGTTTCCCATTCTTGTACTGACGTGTAGTGGAAGTGTTCTGAACACACTCACTGCATTTTGAGGCCTAAACTACAGATTACATTAAACACAGAGTTTGTGGTGTGATTCCTTTACTTTTCAAATCTTTAAATAGCAGTTGTAAGTTACCTGGCCTCATTGGGCCCGCAGTGTGGGTACTGAGCGTGATGGGAATTCTTTATCTCTACACCATGATTCCTACAAACACTGCTGTACTGTGCTGTGAAAAAAAGGACTAAAGGGCAGGTAACAAACATCATAGCAAATAAATACAATATTTATGTTGGGATGGAAGCTTATCTCCCAATGAAAATAGAAGACTTTTCATTAGTTTTAGGTAAAGGTGTTGTCAATGTGTGTGTATTATATATACACTTTCTTAATTACAGTTCTGATCAGACCCGCCTGCAGCTCTTATTTAAAGTTGAATAATAGTAATTCCACAATACCAAACTATGAATTTAGTGCAATATGTATTTTAGCTATTTGTATTCAAGGCACTATAGAAGTACAAACTACTTCATCTCCAGGCTTGACTACTGTAATTCGCTCTACGCGGGGCTGCCCTTGAAGCTGTCCCAGAAGCTCCAGCGGGTGCATAATGCTGCAGCAAGGCTCCTCACGGGGTCTCTGCCATGGGAGCATATTCACCCAGTGCTTTTCAAGCTGCACTGGCTCCCGGTGGAGTACAGGGTCAGATTTAAGGTGCTGGTTTTGACCTTTCAAGCCCTTCACGGCCTAGGACCCTCGTACCTACGGGACCGCCTCTCCCGGTATGCCCCACGGAGAGCCTCAAGGTCCATAAATAACAACACCCTAGTGGTCCCAGGCCCTAAGGAAGTTAGATTGGCTTCAACCAGAGCCAGGGCCTTTTCAGCACTGGCCCCGGCCTGGTGGAACGCTCTGCCTCATGAGACCAGGGCCCTGCAGGATCTGATTTCTTTCCGCAGGGCCTGTAAGACAGAGTGGTTCCGCCTGGCCTTTGGCTTGGAGCCAATTTGATTCCCTCCCTCCCTCTCTTTCTTTTTTCTTTTCCTTCTCCTCCTGCAATGAGGCTACATTTTAATATTTTAATGTTCCATTATTTTAATGTTGTATTTTATTTTTGTTTTTAAGTTGTAATCATTCTTCTTGTTTTTATTATTGCTTGTAAGCCGCTCTGAGCCCGGCCATGGCTGGGGAGGGCGGGGTATAAATAAAAATTATTATTATTATTATTATTATTATTATTATTATTATTATTATTACTTCGACCTCACTTAGAATGCGGGTTTGCTTTTTACCCAGTTAGCAACTTAAAATAAACCATCCCACCTGGAGAGGTTTAGCAGTATCAGAAGATGACCATGAACTAATGGCTAAAACATGCTACAGTGGTGCCCCGCAAGACGAATGCCTCGCAAGACGGAAAACCCGCTAGACGAAAGGGTTTTCCGTTTTGGAGGTGCTTCGCAATTTCCTATGGGCTTGCTTCGCAAGACGAAAATGTCTTGCGAGTTCCTGCAGGTTTTTTTCCCCTCCCCCCCCCTTTTCCCCAAGCTGCTAAGCCGCTTATCAGCTGATCCACTAAGCCACTAAGCCGCTTATCAGCTGGTCCGCTAAGCCACTAAGCCGCTTATCAGCTGATCCGCTAAGCCGCTTAACAGCTGATCCGCTAAGCCGCTTAACAGCTGATCCGCTAAGCCGCTTATCAGCTGATCCGCTAAGCCACTTAACAGCTGATCCGCTAAGCCCGCTAAGCCGCTAATAGCGCTAATCCGCTAATGGGCTTGCTTCACGAGACGAAAAAACTGCAAGACGAAGAGAATCGCGGAACGGATTCTTTTCGTCTTGCGAGGCACCACTGTATTGGCATCTTTTTAAATCAAGACCAAGTTTGAGGCAGTATAAGCTTTCTTGATTTCTCACTAATTTTTTTTCCAAATGTACCACTTACTAATGCAAACACAACATTTTGAGTTGAATGGAATTCAAACTGCAAGCTTAAAAGGTGGTCATATGTTAATGGGATAATCATATATTTGTTTCTATGCTTCCTTATCCTTGGTAGCAGACATATTTTATAGTTAGAGTTTCTAACTATAGTAGACACTATTTTAATCATGGTAAGAATATCCTCAAAGCTCAACACTGGGATATGGGAAAAGTGTAAGTAACAATATTTGGATATTGGATCCCTTCCAGTCGGGATTCAGGCCTCATCATGGGACTGAAACTGCCTTGGTCGCACTGGTTGATGATCTCCGGCGGGCTAGGGACAAAGGTGAGAGCTGTTTCCTAGTTCTGCTGGATCTCTCAGCGGCGTTTGATACCATCGACCATAACTTCCTTCTGGACCATCTTGAGGGGCTGGGAGCTGGGGGCACTGTTATACAGTGGTTCCGCTCCTTCCTCCTGGGCCGTGTCCAGAAAGTGGTGGTGGGGGATGAGTGTTCAGACCCCTGGGCCCTCACTTGTAGGGTGCCTCAGGGTTCTGTCCTCTCCCCCATGCTTTTCAACATCTACATGAAGCCGCTGGGAGAGATCACCAGGGGATTTGGGCTGGGTGTTCATCAGTATGCGGATGATAGCCAGCTCTACCTCTCTTTCAAATCAGAACCAGTGAAGGCAGTGAAGGTCCTTTGTGAGTGCCTGGAGGCGGTTGGAGGTTGGATGGCGGCTAACAGATTGAGGTTGAATCCTGACAAGACAGAAGTACTGTTTTGGGGGGACAGGAGGCGGGCAGGTGTGGAGGATTCCCTGGTCCTGAATGGGGTAACTGTGCCCCTGAAGGACCAGGTGCGCAGCCTGGGAGTCATTTTGGACTCATAGCTGTCCATGGAGGCACAGGTCAAATCTGTGTCCAGGGCAGCTGTTTACCAACTCCATCTGGTACGCAGGCTGAGACCCTATCTGCCTGCGGACTGTCCTCGCCAGAGTGGTGCATGCTCTGGTTATCTCCCGCTTGGATTACTGCAATGCGCTCTACGTGGGGCTACCTTTGAAGGTGACCCAGAAACTACAACTAATCCAGAGCGCAGCAGCTAGACTGGTGACTGGGAGCGGCTGCAGAGACCACATAACACCAGTCTTGAAAGACCTACATTGGCTCCCAGTACGTTTCCGAGCACAATTCAAAGTGTTGGTGCTGACCTTTAAAGCCCTAAACGGCCTTGGTCCAGTATATCTGAAGGAGCGTCTCCACCCCCATCGTTCTACCCGGACACTGAGGTCCAGCACCGAGGGCCTTCTGGCGGTTCCCTCACTGCTAGAAGCCAAGTTACAGGGAACCAGGCAGAGGGCCTTCTCGGTAGTGGCGCCTTCCCTGTGGAACACCCTCCCACCAGATGTCAAAGAGAACAACAACTACCAGGCTTTTAGAAGACATCTGAAGGCAGCCCTGTTTCGGGAAGCTTTTAATGTATGATGTATTATAGTATTTTAATATTCTTTTGGAAGCCGCCCAGAGTGGCTGGGGAAGCCCAGCCAGATGGGCGGAGTATAAATAATAAATTATTATTATTATTATTATTATTATTATTATTATTATTATTATTATTATTATTATTATATTTGAAGTATGGGTTTGAAGTAAACTGTGGCTTTTTTGTCACTGAATGCAGATTCCTTTTTTTTTCTTCCAACAGATTTCTATTGGTGCTGGTTTGTTTAATCTTTAGTGTTCTGTCCACTATTGAATACTATGCAGAATTTGCCACTGGGACTCTTTTTTGGATGGTAAGTGATTTAACTTAAAATATTCTGTGAAATATCTGTATGTATATCTGTTAGAAACTTGTTATAAAAAGCTGAACAATCCAAAATTATCAATCTCTATTTTACTTACTTACTTACTTACTTACTTACTTACTTACTTACTTACTACTTACTTACTAAGAGCACAGCCCTAACCATGTGCACACAAAATTGAATTAAATGAGTCTTACTCCCAGGCAAGAAGAGTAAGAACTGCAGCCTTAATTATATTTATATCCTATATCTTCTGTTTTAGAACACATCTTGTAAGAAATGGTCATAACACAATCCTGCACATGTTTACTCAGAAGGAAGTACCACAGTTTTGATTGTAGGTGTGTACAGGCAACTCCCCATTTATATGGGACTTACATTCTGAGGCACCGTGTGCATTGGTCAGGTTGCATATATTTGAAACACCATCAAAAAGTCTGCAAACACCCTCTAAACCTCTGTAAACCCTTGGAAAACCAGCATCACTTACCAGACAGGCAGGAAGGATGGTAATGGTAGCTCTCAGTCTTCCTCATTGCTGGAGGACGATGTGGAAAAAACAAGGGGGGTAGACCTGTCCCTCAAAGTCCTTGGCTACAATTCAGATGCACGTTGCTGCTGCTGGTGTCCTGTGGAGGAACACGGTGATGGGCAACTTGTGCTTTTGCCTCTTCATCTGGTCAAACATCTCCCTGTATGGCCACACACTGTCCACAATCGCACACTGGATCTTTAGGCTGTGTTCCATGCAGGAGTCATACTAGGAGATGTGCATGACCGTGCTGAAGAGTTCTGAAAAGCAGACCAACGCCCAGTCCAGGTGCGTTGCTCATCCTGCTCACCATCATAATCCTCTTCCCTGCTTTCTGAACTGGAACGTGATGTCACCAGCTCCGCCAGCTCTGCCAGACTCAAGGCCTGTTGCCCCTCAGTCAGTTTCCTTACTCGTGGCAATGTCTGAAAATCCTTTGAAATCGTGAATGCACTCCTTCCACAGATTGCACTGGCGTACTTTGTTTCAGGCTTGATGGCATCTACTGCCTGCTTGACATAGGTGATGCAGACCACAGTGTTGAAGGACTTCCAGAATGCCACATGGTTGAAATCCGGACCAGCATCCATGTGCTGGTCCCGGGGGGGTTACCGTGCGGCATGGTCTAAATCCGGTCCTAGGTCGAGGGTAAGGAGGCTGTCCGTCAGGGGCGAAGCGAGGTACAAAGCGAGGAGTCGGGCATGATCAGGAACTCAAGAGAGCAGGTCAGGGTGCCAGCAGGAACCGGTTACCAACGATGTTGCTCCTGCAGCCTGGGACTGGGCTGACTGGTCTTTATCTCCTCTGAGGGATAGGGCAGCCCCGGTCCACAGGTGACTCGCCTGGAGGTGAGCACTCCTCCTGAGAGAACTTAGTTCCCTCCGCCTCTCTGCCCTGAGTCTCTGCAGCTCAGGAGAGGCTGGAGGGTTACTGGACCCAGAGGCAACCTCACCTTCCCCTGATAGGGCTGGGAGAGGAGCACCTGCAGGCAATGGGTCCTCCGGAGCCAGAGCGGATTCAGCTGGTGTCTGCTCCTGAGGATCCGGCACAGGTGAGGGCCCTTCAGATTCAAGCCCCTGCCCTGGCTCAGCCGGCCCTGGAGGCGGGGACTCCCGTGCAGGCTGAGACTCCTCAGGTTCAGCCTCTGAATCAGATTCCCAGGCCATCCCACCTGCTCCGGAAGATAGCCCTTCTCTTGCAGCAGCCTCTTCAGCTGCTCAAGTACACTTCAGCAGCCCCCAAGTTCATGGATGCAACTTCGCCAGTGGTGTGGATGTTCTTCAAGTTGAAGCAACCCTTCAAGCAGTTCAGCCAACTGGAGCTGGCTTGGAACTCCTTCTCTAGCTGCTCCCTCTCTGCACATACAGCTTGAGAGCCTTCTTGCACAAGGTGTTGCCATCAACGGGGACACACTGGTGGTTCATGTCCTCCAGCCACAGGTTCAGTGCCTTCTCCATCTCCACCAGAACCTTGTCCCACATGTTGCTGGTGACCCTGGTAATTGCAGGTCCACTTACTGCCACTGCTGCCCGGATCTCCTCCTGTATCTTGATGGCATGGATGCTGTACTCATTCCTGCCATACTTGCGTGCCACAGCACACATAGTGATGCCTTCTTGCAAACAGTCCAGCACTGCTAGTTTCTCTTCCAGCGTGGATACCACTTACTGCTTTAATGGGTTTGTCAGCACCCAAGGAAAATGACAGTGCCGTTGTCAGAGCTGAGGGCTTCTCTCTCTTCACCACAAACACCACAGGAGCCTCTCTACCTTTTTTAGTCTTTATTTGCAGTATTTACAACGGGTCATTAGCACATCTCTGCTGAGGCCTGCATTTGGCCCAATGAGGAAGTCTCCTGCCTTGCCTTTCAGCCCTCCTCTTTTCCATGCGGCGTAAACCTCTCCCTTGCTCTCTGCTTATTCCAATCCTTCTCCCTCCCCCCCCCCCCGCACTTCGTCCACTTCTTCCGCTCCCAGGCTCCCCCTCCCTCTGGGGGCCTTGAAACCCCTGGTTCGTCCATGACAGCCTTCTCCAAAAAAATCCTGACCAAATAAAAATGCCCCAAGCTCAAAAAATTCTCAGAAAAAATACCAAAAACTACAAAAATCTTCAAAAAACCTCCAGCAACCCTCAAATACCTTTACCAGGCATTCCTCCTCCCCAAACTGCCAAATTCCAACATAATCACTCCCTGAAAACCTCCTTCCTCAAACTCCAGCTCTCCACAGGCCTCAAGGGTTGTTGCAAGGGATCTTGGAATTTTACTTGTAAAGACTCGTGGGATTGTTAGGCACTGTTTTTGCACCTTTCTTGCCTGTATATTTTACACCCAATTACCTGCTGGAAGTAAGCCATATTGAAATCAGAGAGACTTACTCCTGCATAGACATGTATAATTCTGCACTTTAAGGCTGCAGTCCTTTTAGGATTAAGACACTTTGAACTCAATAATTTCTGGATAAGCAACAGTAGGATGTGGTTTCATGGTTTATTCATGGAACATAGCTGGCTTTTGACTTGTATGTTTCTAATAGAGCAGGAATGGCCAGCTGGTGGTCCATGTGTCAGAACCAACCCTTTTAATCAAGGTATAGTAAGTGATATGATCATAGAATTGTAGAGTTGGAAGGGACCCATAGGGTCATCTAGTCCAAACCTCTGCAATACAGGAATTAAACTAAACCACATCTAACTGATCATTCTCTCAGTTTCAGGAAAAGGAAACATGATTACAAATGCTAAGTGCATATGTATTACAGTTCTTTTTTATATATTTATATAAATATAATAAATGTACTACATATATGTACTGGATGTATGTACTTTGCTAAATTTGGGCATTTTCATTGGGTGGGTGAGGCCCCCTGGACCAGTGTCAGCAAAAGAGAGTAGCTTCTCAGAATACAGAAAACTATTAGTTCCTTTAATGGTATTTAAACTGAATTAAAAGAGACTAATGCAGCATTTTCAAAAACTAGGGGCAGCTTGAGGCCACATCTCAGACACAGTACAGGTGTGTCACTTCGTTCAATTGGCAATATCCTGTCTGGCCATGAAAGTTTAAGGGAACGTTGACCCTTTCAGATAACTAAATTCTGTGGGTTTCAGCTTGAAGATATCACAAGCTTCTGTTTCTTGAAGCATTTCTTTACTGGCGTCACCAAATGTTCTAAAGCCTGAGCATGTCATGTCTTCTGACACTGAACACTTAGCAGATAAATGAATATTTAAGGGAGGCATACATTGCCATATGCACATCTTTTCCTCTTGCTTTTGCTGTAGTAATGGCAGCCATTTCTAGGAGACGGGCCACATGATAGAGCATATGTTTTGCTTCCAAACACCCCCGATTGATCCCTGGTATTTCCAAGTGGGGCTGGGAGAGTCTGGTCTGACCTAGGACAGCTGCTGCCACCAGTCAATGTAAACAATACCAGTCTAGCAGGGCCAGTGATCCAAGGAGTATAAAGCAGCTTATACCAGCTTATATGCCAGTTGTGCCAAGGAAACTTTTGCTTTCAGTAAAATATCTGCACAGGAGCTGCAAGTTAGTGCAACTACTTGTCTGCTTGTAATACAGACTGTTCATTGGTTTAATTCATACTGAAATGGGAATGCCTGTGTGTATTGGTGAAAGGGTTTAACATTGGAAAATTCCACTGCTGTATTCTAAGGGACTCTGAGCTTTAACTGAGTTCATAATTAACTATTGTTGTTTTCTGCTAGCTAATGTGTGAGTGTTTATCCTTAGAATTTATGAAAAGAAATTAATTGAAAATTTGCTATATGGGAAGGGTGGTGTCTGGAGTTCTTTGTTCCCAGACTCTGTGAAAGTAAGGATGTAAATGAAGCTCTTCAGGAGCACACAGCCTCTAGGCTGGAATACAGGATGTGGGGAGAAACAGACCTTTTGTAAGATGAGGAGCCTATGCCGTGGACAGGCATATGCCTTATGGAATTGTTTGAATGTATCATATGATGTTTATTTTCTGTTTTCAAGAAAGTTCTGCAAGTAAAATTTTGAACAATCTACCCCCCCCCTCTCTCTGCGATCACTCATGACCAAGTTAGATTGTCTTCCATGAACGCAGTCTTAGTGGTGTGTCCTTAAAGTGGAGGCCAATTCTGAATCCACACCTCCTTCCACAGTGGGGACATTGGTTTCTGGGCGGGAGTTGATCACGATGAGGATTTGCCAAATGTGCCTTCCTCTTAGCTGGTTTCTCCCTTTTGTCCTGAATTCGTATTTCTTCAAAATCCATGACGCCTTTAGTAGAGGCTATTTTCCAATTGGAGCGCTCACAGGCCAATGTTTCACAATTATTGGTGTTTATACTACATTTTTAAAGATTTGCCTTGACAGCATCTTTAAACCTCTTTTGTTGTCCACCAGTATTTCACTTTCCATTCTTAAGCTGGGAATAGAGTAGTTGCTTTGTTGTTCAGGCATCTGCTTGCTTGGATAGCCATTTCCCCTTCTGCAGCTAGCAACTGATTCCCCCCCCCCCCCGTCCTACGGAACTGTGTTGGGGAAGAACTGGTCTGACCAGTTGATATAAGTAGGAATAGAGAAGGCTACCTTATACTGAATCAGATGATTGGTACATCTAGCAATTGTTTACACTCATTGGCAAAGGCTGGCAAGGGCTTCACATCCAGTCTATCCCAGCCCCATCTGGACATGCTAGGGACTGAATGCCGGACCTTCTATTGTCTGGAGCTGTTGAGAGGGAATGTGAAGTGTATAGACTGGGAACTGGGCTGAACAAAAATAGATGTTGGATACTTGTTTTAGCTTAGGATCCGGTTTTATGCTTTCTTTCTTTATGAATTGGTGGCAGTGGGCTTCTATGAGGTCAAAAGACAAGACAGAAATCTAGTAATTTAAACAATACAATTGCTGGATAGAAGTCTAAATATCGCTTGTCAAAAAATAGGCATATTTATATTAAGTCTCAGCTTCCAAAACATTCCCCTCTGGTACAGAAGGAGTTTCCAGGTTCAGTTCTTGACATATCCAGTTAAAGGAACTTGGGTAGCAGGTCTAGCAAATATCTCTCTGCCTGACCACCCCTTCCCCCCAGTCAGAGTGGACTAGACAGGTGGATGCTCTGAATTGTCACACAGCAGCTCCCTATGCCTTGTTGCACATCTCAGTGGAGCCACCATGCTCCACCAGGAGACTTCACAACATTGTAATATATATACAGTGTTTAATGGAACTGTTAACTGGTCACAGTATCACCACTAAACAGAATTTTCAAGGAAGATAGAAAAACTGGATTCGATAATAAAATATCAGTTCTAGATAGGGAATTGCTTTCAAATGAGGAAAAAAATCTATCCAGAATGTATAAGTTATTGTTAAACTGGCACCTAAAAGACGAAATGGTTAAGGACGTGATGGTAAAATGGGCCCAAGACTTCGGATATACTGTAGAATTAGAGAAACGGGAAAATCTTTGGACAAAGGATGTTAAGTTTATAGCCTGCTACCTGATTAAAGAAAACTTTTAAAGATGATGTATAGGTGGTATCAAAATTGGCAAAAATGAATTTAAAAAATCAGCAGTAAGTGTTGGAGGTGTAACCACAAGGATGGGAATCTATTCCACATGTGGTGGACATGTCCCAGAATTAAAGTATTCTGGAACATGATTTACGAAGAATTTTTTAAAAATGCCACGATACACTTTGCTAAAAAAACCCACTAGAGTTATTTTTATTAGGTATCTTCACAACTGACATCCCAAAGGACAACAAAAGAGTCTTTTTATATGCAATAACGGCGACCAGGATTGTGATTGCAAAATATTGGAAAAGCAACACAATTCCAACAAAGGAAGAATGGTTATTAAAATTAAGTGAATATATTGAATTGGCGAAACTAACAGAATTCAGAAATCAACCAAGCGAAAAGATCAGGAGAGAATGGGATGTCTTTAACAATTATATTAAGAAAGTTGGTTCCCAAAATTATGACTGGCTTAGCCTAGACTAAAAACTCCAGAGGTAAACAAATTATCTCTCCAGAAAGTTTAGAATGATTACAGACAACCAAGGATATGAGATTATAGGAAACATATAGTGGTCGAAGGAAGTCAAATCTTTTTTCTTTTCTTTTTTTCTCATTTTTTCTTAGATATACTCTTTTTCTTACCTTTTTCTATTTTTATTTTTGTTTTTGTGCATTTTTGCATTTTTTTCTATACTTGGAAAATGTTAGTTAAGGTAATGTGTATTTTTTCTTTATTATTTATACAACTGTATTTTTTTGAATGTGTGTAATATGTATATAGCAGATAATTTTTTCTAAAAAATAAAATAGAATAATAATGATGATGATGATGGAACTGTTATATGCCAGCCTGACTTTTTGAAAAGATCTAAGACTTGCTGGAAATCTATGTAAATCATGTTACATCGTGGTACACTATGTCCTTATGTTACGGTGTTCTACAAATGAAGATCACAAAGAGGAGTAGCAAATTGAACGAAAGCCATTTCCTGCTGTGCAACTTATCTTAGGTGTAAACTTTAATATTAACTATTCCACTTATTTATACAAAAAGAAAAAAAAATTATATACAAAACACAATCCTTACCACCCTCCCCCCAAAATAAATAAATAATTTTGAGTAAATAAATAAACCCACCATGCTGCTTTTATCCTTGTGCCCTTGAAAGAAAAGAAAGTCCGAAAAGGAAACTTCAATTCCTCTTGTTAGTTGTATTTACCACATTTCTATGCCGCCTTTTAAAACTAATGTTTTAATGTTTTCAAAAATATTAATGTATGATAAAATTTGTTAATAATAATAAATTTCAAACAATAAGCCTTAAATACTGTTTTTAATTTCAGGAAATTGTCTTGGTGGTATTTTTTGGTGCTGAATATGTGGTGAGGCTCTGGTCTGCCGGTTGCAGAAGCAAATATGTTGGTATTAAGGGAAGAATACGATTTGCTAGGAAGCCTATATCAATAATAGGTGAGATCGTCTGTTTTAAATATAAAATCATACCGAGACATCAATCCCATGGCCTTTTTGAGCAGTAAGGATATACTGGCTTTGCGTATAGCTGAGTTGACTGATGCTTCAAGATGGATATTTTTATTGGCCCACCTTTTATTGGGAGATGAGCTGTTATAAGATTATGAGCCACTGCATTCCTGGTTGGTGTTTGCCTTTGTTTATGTTCTAGGTGCACTTAGCAAAATCCGAGTTCTCTCATATTCCACCCCAACTCCTTTAATATGGAGATTAACATCCTGACCCACCTTCAATCCACCTTCAGTCCTCTTGTACTCTTTCTGAGATGCAATATATGGCAACGAAGGAGAGGCCACCATCTCCCGAGGGAGTCCATTCCACTGTCAAACAGCTCTTACCATCAGAAAGTTCTTCCTGATGTTGAGTCAGAATCTCCTTTCTTGTAGCTTGAAGCCATTGGTTCAGGTCCTACCCTCCAAAGCAGGAGAAAACAAGCCTTCCTCCCTGGCTACTAGGAAGAGAGTTCTGGGTAGCTGATGTCCACTGGTAGGGTTAATTTGACCCTCAAAATTTTACTGTTCAAAAGGTGGTATAATGGCTAAGGTCGGTGGTTTGAATCCACGCGACATGGTGAGCTCCCATTGCTCTGCCTGCCATCCTAGCAGTTTGAAAGCACACCAGTGCAAGTAGATAAATAGGTACCACTGTGGTGGGAAGGTAAATGGCATTTCTGTGCACTCTGGCTTCCATCATGGTGTTCCATTGCGCCAGCAGCGGTTTAGTCCTGCTGTCCACATGACCCGGAAAGCTGTCTGTGGACAAATGCTGGCTCCCTTGGCGTGAAAGCAAGATGAGCGTCACACCCCATAGTTGCCATTGACTGGATTTAACTGTCCAGGGTCCTTTACCCTTTACCTATAATGGCTAAGTGTATCTTCTCCAAACCACCTGCAATTTCTTGTCTGCCCTGTAGACGGTTTGGAGACGTTACACATCATAAACTTTGATATGACAAAGCCTTTTGTAAATACAAAAGAAATAAACCTTTTCCATATGGTTTATGTAGTTATTTATTTTATTCCAGTGTCATCTTAGATTAAACAGGGTTCTGAAGTGCTAAAAAGAAAAAAGCAAGACCTGTAAGCAGAGATGATTGTGGGAGGAATAAAAAAAAAAGCCTTCATGTTACATGTGAAAGAAGCCTTCTATAGATTTTGGTTGTTTTTAGTACTGAAAGGCTGTAACATTCTGCCCCCCCTTCCTTTGATGGCATTAAAATGCATTAACAGTTTCATTTTCCTTTTTTGTCAACAGATCTTATTGTTGTTATAGCTTCAATTATTGTTCTGAGTGTAGGATCAAATGGACAGGTGTTTGCCACATCTGCAATAAGGTATGCCAAGATATGTCAAGTTTAGATTTATTGTCTCTTTCAATAAAAAGCTTGAGCTGACTTACATTGTGCAAAGATATTTGTTGGCATCTATATCTAGCTACATATATCTATTATTATTATTTTCACCATCCCTTCCTCTTCTCCTCCACCTTTCCTCTTACTTTTCTCAACTCACCCTTGCATGCAGATCACCCTCTACTCTCTCCTGTTCTGCAGAGCCCCTTCCACACACCTGCCATGTGGATATCTTTACCTTATCTTCAAGATGAAAAGAATTGTATGAACGAGCCTATTAATTGGGCTCTTCCGTTAGAGATGGTTAAGTTCAGTTGGTGCACACTGTCCGTATATGGACAGTGAATAAATATACAGTGGTACCTCGTGTTAAGAACTTAATTCGTTCTGGAGGTCCGTTCTTAACCTGAAACTGTTCTTAACCTGAAGCACCACTTTAGCTAATGGGGCCTCCCGCTGCGCCATCGCCGCGCGATTTCTGTTCTCATCCTGAAGCAAAGTTCTTAACCCGAGGTACTATTTCTGGGTTAGCGGAGTCTGTAACCTGAAGCGTCTGTAACCCGAGGTACCACTGTATCTTCTAAATTACTACATTGAATCTGAAACTTCATATTCAAGACAACATGTCATACCCAGAGTGAAATACATGATTGTGGGAAGGTACTATGGAATATGTGAAGCGAGCACAACAGAGCATTTCCCAGCTCACTTCTCGCTGTACTCAAACCTTGTTTGAAACTGCCAATATCAATCTACTCATACCTCTGCTGTTGTTTAAAACCACAACTTTCCCTGTTTGCTTTATTCAAATCTCTGCTTTTGTTTAAAACTGCCATTTTAAAATGTGCCTTCTCTTGGCTTTCCTCTCCCACACTCACTTAATGCAAACACAGGATTGTGCTGATGCACCACAGATCCTCCAGTGAGGGCTGCCTTGCAGTTATAAATACATGGAAGAAATAAATTAAATCAAATATCAGGGAATAAAACTTCTATAACTTTTTAGTACATTTTCTAACAAGGATCACGTCCTGGGAGTCCTCAGGCTCCATATTAAAGTTGCCTGCATCTATCAGTGAGAGTAGATACATTCAGGCACAACATTGCATACAAAAAATGCATTTATCTGCATATCACATATATGTTGCTGTTTGGGAGCACATAGGCTACAGATTGAAACAGGACAGCTGCTTGTGAAAAAGGAAACCAGGAAGGTCTTGCTCTGAAAGGAGAATTGGGAAAGAGACAAAAAGCAAAAGGCACCTCCCTTCCTCTGAGCTCCCTGGGAGCTGTGGTGGAAGCCAGAGGGTGAGATAATGGCCACTTATCCAGTCCTGGGGTGCGTGGTGGTTGCAGCCCATAGAAATGGGTCCTGACCCCCAGGAGCAATGCTGGCCTGGGCGGCTTGTAGTTGGAAACCCCCCGTGCTGGCTGTGTAGGAGGGTGGGAGTTCCTGCCAGGCCCAATTCTGAATTCTGGCCAATCAGACCAGTCCATGGTGGCAAGGGTTGGAATCAGACCGGAGTGGAGCAAGCTTTTTTCCACTCCGTTCCCTTCACAGCTATGTGCAAAATCAATGAGCAATGTAACACTAAACTTTCGTAGATCTGCCCCAGGAAGCAGATAAAATTTACTTTCTGTCCCACAAAGCTACTACAGTCATACCTCGGGTTAAAGACACTTCGGGTTAAATCTTTTTGGGCTGCATCCCGCAGTGACCCGGAAGTAACGGAACAGGTTACTTCCGGGTTTCACCGCATGCGCAGACACTCAGAATGACGCTCAGTCATGCGCAGACGTGGCGAATCGCGACCCATGCAGACACAGGTTGCGTTCTGCTCATGATGCGAACGGGGCACTGGAACGGATCCCATTCGCATCCAGAGGTGCCACTGTAGTTGGTTTTGTCTGACTCAGGACTTTTTTTCATCCGGAACTCACCAGAACTCTTTGGTGCGCTATGTGTTGCGCGACAGAGGCTGTGGGCGAAAAAGATAAGCTATTTAAGGGGTGAGCTCCCCTAAGAAAAGCTCAACAACTTCTTTGACTGGTCTAACTGATAAATTATTTATTTGACTGAGTACTGTTAGTACTAATGAGTTTTCAAATTTCATTGTAGTATTCAGAAGAAAATATACTCACATTTCCACAGATAGGCCTTCTGTGTCTAATGGGCTCTCACTGCATTCTGCCATTTTTTCCACAGGGGAATCCGTTTTTTGCAGATACTTCGCATGCTTCATGTAGACCGACAGGGTGGCACTTGGAGGCTCTTGGGATCTGTTGTATTCATACATCGTCAGGTATTGAGTATGGGAAGGTTATTGAATATGTTTAACAGGCTCTTTTTACACCTGTAAAACTCTTATTCTAACATCAGGTATGGTGAAAATGAACTCACCTGGAAATGTAGGGTTTGGGGCAATCTCTCAGTGTGTTCTTTTTTTTAATCCCTGGCCTCAGCAGTACAGAGGCAAGGTGAGGCAAGGCTTCCCTGGTGCCTGAGATAGCTCTGTACAGGCTTTGGGCTGGATACTGCACAACAGCAGAGCAGCTGCCATTCTCAGACCGAGCCGCTCTATCTCAGAGGCTTCCATGAGAGAGGCCCTTCCTGCTTTAGCAGTCATTAACTCCAACAGAGAGTTGGGTTCCATTAGGGCTCCTGAACTGGCAACTCTGGAACTGGAGGAAGGCAACACAGCATCCTCCTGATGCGATGGGCTCCTCTTGCGTGAGTGCGAATAACCTCCACAAACACATTTAAAAGGCTGTAGAATATTAATCAGCCTTATTTTTTTTTAAAAAAAATACAAATTAACATGCAACACTTAAGAACAATTTAAAGCAATCCCACCCCAAATAAACAACACCCACCCAAGTTAAAACCCCATCCCAATTAAAACCATAATTTTAGCATAAAGGGGCTGGCCCACAACCTCGTTTCACCCCCAAAGTGCTTCCCCCAAAGGAACGATCCCCTTTGGTGTCGTCTGCTTTGGGGGCAGCCCCGCCCCTCGGGTAGGCTGGCTTTATAGAGCCGCCCCAGCAACCGGTGCCCTCCTAGCTGGGGCAGCAGGTGTTTCCAATGCTGCCTGCCCGCCCAGGGCTTTGGTACCTAAAAATGACTGCAGTTAGTCCTATAGGGGTCCATGTTGGACCCTCAGCTGTATTGACAAACAGGGTAACAGTGCATTCAGCTGCTCACCTGAAGCACTTTTGAGTGCTTCGCTGGCTAGACTTTGAGCCTACTCTTGGATATGGCCCAGGCTCTGGGTAGCCAGCTCACAGTGGGGCTTGTTTTTGCTTTTTAAAATAAGATTTATTCTAGTCTATGTTTACCAGAAACGCATACTCTTCAAAATTTTGTTTGAATATGTATAAAAGCTAGCATATCAACTCAAAGGTGAGACATGACTGCCACAGGTCATAAAGCAGACCAGCATCACTGGATATGTTTTATTAAAAATATGAAATGGTTCTGAGTAATTTTTTAAACCAAAATCAGCATTTGTACAAAGAGAGCTTCCAATCAGTAATCAAGTTTTGTTCCTGTTAGGAACTAATAACTACGCTGTATATTGGATTCTTGGGATTGATCTTCTCATCGTACTTCGTCTATCTCGCTGAGAAGGATGCAGTGGATGAGGAGGGACAAACAGGGTTTTCCAGTTATGCTGATGCTCTCTGGTGGGGTGTGGTAAGTGCATCTCTTGTGTCATATCCAGTGCTGCAAGATCACGATTTCAGTGAAATATTCAGAATCAGGAATTTGATTGAAATTAGTGTTAAGAGTAAATAGTACAAAAAGACTCTGTGTTGTAGGTTGTAGAAGAGAAGCAAGGCCAAAGTTACTTTGCGAAGTACTTAAATCTGAACATTTCATATTAAAAAAATTAAATTAAATCTTGCTATACAAGCATGAATCGAACCTGTGAAGTTAATGGTATACTTGGCGTAAGGCAAAACCATCACCAGCCAATTAAATTGCTTGGGAATGGATTCAGAGGAGCAGAAGAAAGTACTTTTTTCATTCACAGCATAATTAACAGGGAAGTTGTTGCTACTGGTTGTGGTGATAAGTCCCTTCTTTTGCTAGACCACATTTTTCCGGAACCTAATCTCACATTCTCATTCTTTTTTATCTGAGTCATGCACAAGAGGAATGTGAATGAGCATTATGGCCATTGCACCTCATTATTATTTATTATAGTCGTTTATATCCCTTATTTCTGCAGACAAATCCTTTCAAGCTGGCTCAGAACAAAGCAGAAGACCATGACAGAGTGTCAAAACAGCATCAGATTTGAAGTATAGTATTCAAACATGCCAGCAGGAAGGAGCTCATATATAAACACACATATATACACCCCCTGAAGTTATCACTCTGCTGCATCCTACTGGTCACTTGACTCAACAAGAGCAATCCTAAGCACATTCACAGTGTGTGACCAAAACATCAAGACAGAGAAACCTAGAAATAAGCTGACAAATGTGAGGAGCTCCAAACCCATGTTAAAATTGGGTCCCCCTCCCAATGCATGTCACAAGCACACCTCCCAGTGATTTTAATCCTGATTCAATACTGTGCCGTGTCCCGCCCACCATGCTTCAGGTGAACTTATACTGATCTTATACATATAAGCAATCCAAATAAGTGCTTATGTTATGGGAGATTGTGGAATCCCTTGAATATTTATTTAATGCTGCAAAACTGCCCCAGGGAGAGGAGTCATTTATTGGAGCTGCTGCCCTGGCTGGCTCCTATGGCAGACTAGCACAATTGGCTTCCCCAGAGCTTGTGCCTGGAGAAGGATGAGCTACATCTGACAGAAATGCACAGTACTTCAATCTTAAATCTATAGAAATGTGAACCAGCTTTCAGACTATTGTCATTACAGCCTTTTTGTAAACTATTTTTCATCTACTGTACAGGTAACAGTCACTACTATTGGCTATGGTGATAAAGTGCCACAGACATGGATTGGCAAGACAATTGCGTCTTGCTTCTCTGTGTTTGCCATCTCTTTCTTTGCTCTTCCAGCGGTGAGTGCACACCTTAAATAATTATTAAGTCAGTTTGTAAACATTGCTGATGTCTTAAGAAAGTGGTTGATGTGTACAATGTACTGGTTACCTGCAGCGTAGCATGCTTTGTTAGCACCTGGGGTGGGTGCGCACCTGAGCGTGCAGAGGGTAAAAAGAGCCGACTGCACCAGCCCAGGCCTTGCCATTGCTGGAGCAACCCCCTCCCACTGTGCAGGGGGGGGGAGCCCGGCTGGCCAATGCAGACCTCGGACCATCCTAGCCTTGCAAAGTGGCTTGGGGCTGGCAGGGCGGGGCAAGGAGCTAACTGTGCAGTGCCCCCCCCCCCCCGGAAAAATGTGCCCGAAGCCATCACCCCGGCAGCCGTCCCCGCCTCCCCCACTACGCCCCTGTGGCTTACCTTACTTTTACATGTAAGCATTAAATGCAGTTTTCTTCAACAAATAACTGCTTTTCGACTTTCAGGGCATCCTGGGTTCCGGCTTTGCACTTAAGGTACAACAGAAACAACGTCAAAAACATTTCAACAGGCAAATACCTGCAGCAGCATCTCTAATTCAGGTAAATACTTGATGAAGAAATAGGAGAAAGTGAACTGAAGTTTGTAACTTCTCACCATCCCAACAAAAGAGATTACAAAGAGCAGTACTCTGCTACAGTGTCTTGGTATTAACTGAGGATTTTGGAATCTGAGCTGTAATGTTCCACTATTTGCAGTCCATGTGTGGGGCATTTCAGTGAACTTGAAAGGGTCAAATTTATCCTAGATACTGGTGGTGGCAGTGGTAAAAGGTAAAGGGACTCCTGACCGTTAGGTCCAGTCGCGGATGACTCTGGGGTTGCGTGTTCATCTCGCTCTACAGGCCGAGGGAGCCGGCGTTTGTCCACAGACAGCTTCCGGGTCATGTGGCCAGCATGACTGGCGAACCAGAGCAGCGCACAGAAACGCCGTTTGCCTTCCCACCAGAGCGGTACCTATTTATCTACTTGCACTTTGATGTGCTTTCAAACTGCTAGGTTGGCAGGAGCTGGGATCAAGCAACGGGAGCTCACCCCGTCGCTGGGATTCGAACCACCGACCTACTGATCGGCAAGCCCTAGATTCTGTGGTTTAGACCACAGTGCCACCCGCATCCTGGTGGCAGTGGAAGCAGCCATCAATTTATTCCCAGAACACCCTTGGAGTGATACTATATAGTGAAGTAAAGTTGCGTATAGAGGAATCCTGGGGAAATCTGGCAGCAACTGGAAGGCGCTCTTTTGCTGACATGAAACAGGCCATGGTGTATGTGTGTCAAGGTCAGTTACTTCCAGATCCAATATAACCTGTCCATTCTCTCCAAATGTTGCGCCAAATATGTCACTGGGAACTTTCAGCCCAGCCTTGAGCCAAGGACTTCCCACTCAGGGTAGGGAGCTCTGGGCAGCTGGGAAGGAGGCTGCCTCCGCGCACCCGTGTGTCACCATCTCTGGCCTTTTGTTACTCCCTGGGCCACCTCCAGGCTGCGGAGGAGGAGGCAGTGTGTGTGTCACATTTTCAGAAACAACAGAACGCTTCCTGCCCTTCTCTGTGCCATCAATTTATTGTTTGTGTGGTTATCTCCGCACCTGCATTTCTCTCCTCCTGAATTCCAGTTTAACTAGGAAAATTTCCATTATGAATTATTGATTTGGAACATGTACAGTTTGCCTCAGCTTTCAGTTCCTTCAGTTCATGCCCACCTTTCCTCAGTGATGCGCATGTATGCATTGATAAAACATTGGGAGGGAGGGAAGCAAACAGCATGTTGTTGTACATGAAAGTACAACAAGATTCTTTTTGTGCATTGCATTGCACTGCTGATGCACACACCCACTCCTGTACATTGGTAGAAAGCCTTGCACACAAATAACAGTAACATAGAATTGCAGGTAATCTTGAATTCAAAATTTTGAGAGAAATGCAGGTTAGAATTTAAGAACTGGCCCTCATGTTGGCTTCCATCTCGGAACAGAGCAGATGGCTGCAGCATCCTGTGTTAAAAACTTTCACTTGCAAACATGAATGATGTTCATGTCACATGGCCAACTTCAAGCACTTTTGAGCCCCTCCAACTGTTGGTCTGCCAGGTGGGAAAGAAATAAAGTTTAAGGTCTCTTATGTCAGGTTTTTAAATTGACTGATGACCATGTGGGAAGGTGGATTTACACTTGCGTTTTAACCTTCTTGTGTTAGTTGTGCCACTGTGAATAGAAATGTTTCATATGGATGTTTAATATTCCACCTTCTGAGCTGGAAAAGCAAAACTTATGCATGGTGTAATGGACATTAGATGAAGAATTTTTTTTGATAATTGAAATGCTATAAAATGCAATGTGTGATTTTGGCCTAAGAGTGTATTGGACTGATTTCTTAACATTCTAGCTATTACTTTAAAATAAACCTCTACTTTGTTAAATATTAATGCAGTCTTCAACTTCGTGATGTTCATGGCATAATACAGAACAGAACATTCACCAGCAGAATGGCCTGCTCCCTGAACCTGTAGGCTAGAGCAGTGGTTCCCAACCTTTTTTTGGCCATGCCCCACCTAAGCATCTCTAAAATCCTGATACCTCCCCCCGTGACATATAATTCTTATTATTCAAAAAGTGAACTCCTATTCATGTGGAGGAAGCCTAAAAGGCCATTAATTGTTAATAACTCATTCTTGAATTGCCCTCCTTAAAAATCAAATTTCCCCCCTGTGGGAACTATGGGGCTAGAGTAAAAAACCTCACTAACCAATGGCAGAGCAGACTACATGTGTCCTGTGGTGCACACTAATTTGGCACTGTTCCAAGTAAATACTACTTTCCTTGTAGTATTCTTGTAAAAAAATAAAAAATTCCACTATTGGATCTTTTTGTCATTACTGAACCAATGAATTAAGAAAACCTAACTAACTACTGGCCAGTTGCTAATCTCCCTTTCATGGGCAAGGTTCTGGAGCGAGTGGTCGCAGACCAGATCCAGGTGCTTTTGGAAGAAACTGATTTTGTGGATCCTTTTCAATCGGGGTTTAGGCCTGGTTTGGGAACAGAAACAGCTTTGGTCCCTCTGTCGAGAGACACACAAGGGAAACATGTCCCTGTTAATTGTTCTCGACTTCTCAGCGGCCTTTGATACCATCCACCATGGTACCCTTCTGGAGTGACTCTCCGTACTAGGGGTGGGTGGCACCGCTTTGTGGTGGTTCTATTACTTGGGGAATGCTATTCAGCCCTGTGGAAACCGCAGGGCTCAATCCTATCGCCCATGTTGTTTACCTGAAACCGCTGGGTGGGGTTAGCCGGAGGTTCGGAGTATGTTGTCAGCAGTATGCTGATGACACCCAGCTCTATTTCTCCTTTACATCTGCAGGTGAGGCAGTGGAAGTGCTGGACCAGTGTCCTGCCTCAGTAATGGACTGGATGAGAGCCAACAGACTGAAGCTCAATCCAGATAAGACTGAGGCATCCTAGACCAGATGGCTGGGAGGTTGCCTGCTCTTGATGGGGTTACACTTCCCCTGAAGGAGCAGGTTCGTAGCTTGGGGGTACTCCTGGATCCTTTGCTGTCGTCCGAGGCTCAGGTGGGCTCAGTGGCCCAGAGCGCCTTCCATCAGCTTCAGCTGGTGGCCCAGTTACGCCCCTATCTGGACAGGGATAGCCTAGCTACTGTTGTCTATGCTCTGGTAACCTCAGGGTTAGATCACTGCAATGTGTTCCACGTAGGGCTGCCTCTGAAGACGGTTCGGAAACTTCAGCTAGTGCAGAATTCAGCGGCCAGGTTTGAGCATATTACACCAATCCTGGTCTGATTGCACTGGCTACTAAGTAGTTTCCAGGCTCAATTCAAAATGCTGGTTTTGACCTATAAAGCCTTAAACTGCTCAGGACCACAATAACTCAAGGACCATCTCTTTCTAAATGAACCTACCCGAACCTTGAGATCATCTTCTGAGGCCCTCCTTCGTGTGCCCCCTTCTTGAGAGGTTTGGAGGATGGCAACACAAGAACCGGCCTTCTCTGCAGTGGCTCCCCATCTGTGGAATGCTCTCCTTAGGGAGGTTTGCCCAGGACCTTCATTATACACCTTTACGTGCCAGGCAAAAATGTTACTTTTTAACCAAGCCTTTGGTTGATACAATTTACATCCTATGCCCTTTCAAAATGTTTTTTTTTTGTGGGGGGGTGTTATTGGGTTGCTGTTTTTATTTTTATTAGGTATTTTGTGGTTTTATATCTTGATTTTATTCTGTGAACCAGCCTGTGACCCCCTGAGATTGAAATTCAATCAGTCAATCAATCAATCAATAGTACTTCTATATAAGCAAAATGGGTGGCAAGGGAGAACTGCATTTGAACTAATTTTTTTCACAATACTTGTGGTAGAAATCTTTTGTACTGTTCATGCAGGACAAGTAACACTACTTAATTACAGAGAGGTTATGTACTTTCTGTCTTTATATATAGTATTAGCAAGAGTTTTTTTTATGTCCTGCAGACTCTGTGGAGGTGTTATGCAGCAGAGAAGTCATACAATTCCACAGCTACATGGAAGATCTATGTCACCACAGCTCAAAACGCAAAGAAAACAGCAGCACCATCTAGCCCAAATCTCAGAAAACAGGTCAGAAGGGGCACATTGGTTGATTAGTGACATTTATAACCTGCCTTTCCATCCAACAAACTTAACACAGAACACACGGTTTGGGAACTCCATAGAATCAGTTCAGGTGTTAAGAGAACTGGAGAACCTGTTGAAGTAAAATTCAGGACTCATCCAAACTTACCTTTTTGGGCACAGGTCTGCACATTAAAGCTCTGTGTCCGAGCACTTTTTTCTTTTACCCAGCCACTTCCCTCAGAAAAACCTGCTTTTTAATGCTGAATTGGAACAAATGACAATTTGGGTTTTCCACAGGTTGCTGTTTGCTCTGATTCAGCAGTAAAGAGTGGGTTTTTGCAGGGAAAGTGCTGGGGCAAAATAAAAACGGCTGTTGTTTAAAGAGCTTTAAACCACAGACCTGTGCCTAGAAATGCTTAGCAAAGGTAAGTGTGGCTGAGCCCTGATTTTATCCCACTCCAAGAATATTTAAACAGTAATTTACCTTGTTGTCCAGCTGTTCATGTTCTAATCTAAGTATGCCTTCCTATAAAAGAAGTCATTCCTCAGTTAGCAAGGGACTCTTTATTCCAGGACAGCTTTTAAAATATTTTATTTGCACAGGATTGTTATACTCTGAGTAGAGCCCTTCATACTAACTGTCCACTAATTTCAGTGGGGATAAACTGAGTGTGACTTGATCAGCTACAACCCATAGATTTATCACATGCCACATCTTAGAAGTCAGATGCCATGACATAACAAAATGTAACCAAATTGATGGAAATTTCTCAGTTTTTCTCCCCTTGTGGCCATGAGTCTCACAGGCTTACCCATACAGGTGGGCATTATAAGGCTTTAGAAAGGAGGTCACTTTCAGAATCTTTAGTGGGTGGAAGGTCAGACAACAGAAGTACTTTTTGTGTCCTTTCTTTTTATCTCATTTCCCCCCATAGAAAATATTATTAAGAGGAAGTCACTTAATGGACCTTAAATACTGTAATGGAGCACAAAATTAAGTAAGTTGGATCCAAGCCATTAATTGTGCTACATTGTCTTTCTTAGTAAAGGTAAAGTGACCCCTGACCATTAGGTCCAGTTGTGGCAGACTCTGGGGTTGCGGCGCTCATATCACTTTACTGGCCGAGGGAACCGGTGTACAGCTTCCGGGTCATGTGGTCAGCATGACTAAGCCGCTTCTGGTGAACCAGAGCAGCACACGGAAATGCCGTTTGCCTTCCCGCCAGAGCGGTACCTATTTATCTACTTGCACTTTGACATGCTTTCGAACTGCTAGGTTGGCAGGAGCAGGGACCGAGCAACGGGAGCTCACCCCGTCGCGGGGATTGGAACCACCAACCTTCTGATCAGCAAGTCCTAGGCTCTGTGGTTTAACCCACAGCGCCACCCGCTTGCCATTGTCTTTCTTCCCACCATTTAAATTAAATGTTGTCATCTTGGCAGAATGGCAGTGTGACAGACACCCTCAATGAAGATGGTGCTGGGTAATGCAACAGATATTTTGGATGCATTGCTAGATAAATCTCCCACTGTATTACACAGTAGAGGTCCATAGTTATTGGTTTGTGGTAGCATTTCTGTTTAACAACAGAATTAATTATGTGAAGGGGAACCTGTGACCACAGTTCCCTCACGAAGAAGATCTAAGTAAGGCTTTTAGAACAAAACTTGAACTTTATTTACACTCAGTTAGGTTATAGCGTATGGTTGCTTTTGAAAGGTGCAACACTGTTTCAAGCAAACACTATTTGCAGAGATATTTAAGATATTTCTTAACTTCACGCTTTAAACCTGTCACTGGACAGATAAATTTCTATGATACCTGTTATCTTACACACCACAATTAAGATGGTCCCAGCCCCTTCCAGGATCCTAGGTAAAGGGACCCCTGACTGTTAAGTCCAGTCGTGGCTGACTCTGGGGTTGAGTGCTCATCTCGCTCTATATGCCGAGGGAGCCGGCGTTTGTCCGCAGACAGCTTCCAGGTCATGTGGCCAGCATGACTAAGCCGCTTCTGGAGAACCAGAGCAGCGCACGGAAACGCCGTTTACCTTCCCACAGTTTACCTTTACCTATTTATCTACTTGCACCTTGATGTGCTTTCAAACTGCTAGGTTGGCAGGAGCTGGGACTGAACAATGGGAGCTCACCCCATCGCAGGGATTCGAACCGCCGACCTTCTGATTGGCAAGTCCTAGGCTCTGTGGTTTAGACCACAGCGGCATCCTAACCTTCCCCTTATTGAATCAAAGCTGGGTTGCTCTGCCTAGCTAGCTCCACTCAAATAGACCAACTTTGCTCACAGCCAATCCTTATCTCAAACTGAGCACTATTTAACTATCTGTCCCCACTAACAGATAATCCTGATCTCAACCCACTCAGGTAGTCAGAGACCCCTTCTACCCACCCAGACAGAAAGTTCTCATATGACCATTAAACGATTAAATTCCCCACACTTTCCTGATTGGCTGATGGACCCACCAGCTCCCACAAGCAACGGGGACTCCAGGAGGCAGACTCAGGGCCTGTCCGCAGGCCCAGTACTTCCATCTGTTGCCAAAATCACAGTGGGCCCCACATAATATGTTAGTATGTTTGTTATTATAATAATTGCAAAGTTTGGGTTTGTTTTTAAAAATGCTATTGTGATTATTGTGAGCCACTTTGAGCTCATCATTTGTTGTTGGAAAAGTGGAATACAGATATTAAATCAATATCAAATCAAATCACTTGACCCTGCATAAAAAGAAAAACCAGGGTTTTACTGATGTCCCAGATGTTAATTTGTACTTTGCTCTATTTAATAAACTTACTGTGACTTTGCCTCTTGTTGGCTTAATTTGTTTACTTTCAGAAAAACACTTCAGGAAGTTTGCAGTATAAAATAATGGCTTACAATAATAATAATACAATATAATAAGGAAGCAAGGTGCATGTAAAGATGGGGGAAACAAATGAATTCATGGACCAGGTCTCAGAAAGGAGTTATTCCCTGATGCAACTGGAAAGCTTTAATCTAAATAAGGCATCTGAATACAAGCTGCCCTGGGAATCTGTTGAGGGGCAGGATATCAATCAATCATCAATCAAACAAACAACAACTACTATTTAGCATCTGACTTGTAACTGGTTCCCAAATGCACATTTGTCACTGCGGTCTTCAAGAATCAAGTGAAATGTTAGGGTTGCCATACACCTGGGATTTCCCGGACATACGTGGAATACTGGAGTCGGCAGCAGTGTCTGGTAAGAAATCGGCAAGACGTATGGCAGCCCATGTTGGCAGTGCCGTTTTTGCCAATTTTCCATAAAACAATTTTGGGCAGAACTAAAAAAAGTTCAACAATGTTGAGTGAGCCCATCACAATTTTTTATTAATTTTTTAATAATGTGTGTGAAGGAGGCCCTACACTAACTTCCCTGTGTATAAACCCCATTGGACCCAATGGAACGCTGAGTAGACATGTGTAGGATTGAATAGTAAGTGTGGTCTGGACAGCTGTAGAGGTCCCTATGTAGCTACCCCACATTTCCTGTAAGAATCTAGTAACCACATTTTCAGGATGTTGGGGTATGACAGTCATTTCTTCAGAGAGCAAAAATACCTGTGTTAGAGCTGAAGGCTGACTTCCTGTGGGGTAGCTAAGCTGTGGTTCTATGGCAGGCAGTAAAGATAGAACAGTATATCAGGTGAACGTTAATATGATCTGTGGTTGCCAACTTCTTAAGAAGTCTCAGATGAAAAAGTATGCTGATTGTTTCAAATGAACCCTTTAAAAATGTATGCAAGTCTCAACTTGCCCACACACCATTTATTTCAGTTATTTATACACTTCTTAATCACTGGGGTTTCCAAGCCTGTAGAAGTTGAAATTTTTGTATCATACTTTTTTTTGGTATGGAAATGGTTTTATTACAGAGCAGAAGATACAAAAGGAAAGGAAAACCTGGGCGTGATAATGGTTCCACACCTATAATGAATCCAGGGGAGACAGTGCTGCCTATTCCACAAATTACTTATGACCATATCGGTCAGCGAGAAGACAAGAAAGAGATGAGTTTCTACCTTGATGAACCTGGAGGTAACCTACTATCTTACAATGAATCTTTTATGTATACAGCAGCCATGAGTTTATTTTTCAGTCGTTAAACCATAGTTAAACATTAGCTGTGGTTTAACATGAGCAAGCAGCATGCTGGTACATGCTGTTCATGCCATAAATGCCCATTTCACACCCAATTCTCCCATCTTTCCTATGCTGGACAGAAACAAACCAGAAGCTATCTTAGCAATATATGGAGAGAAATAAACAAGGAGTGCCAGTTTGAACATAACCGTTAGGCTGTTTCCTTTGCAAAGGTATGGTGAAAGAGTGGTGCAGGCACCAATAAGCAGTGCATGGGTATCCAAGGCAGCTGAAATTAGGTCCAGAGAGGAAATGGTTTAACAGGTTTCTTGCTTGCTCATCTTCTGTTCAGATGTGTTCTTCTGACTACCACAGGCTCCTGATATAGGTGGGTAAAGCTCAGATTAGGGTTTCTATGTGATATGAAAAGGGTGGGTAGTGACATGCAACTTCTTTTAAAATGGGCCCCCTGCAGAGTTTTATCTGTGCCAGCATCTGTTCTCAGTGCTGGAGCTTAATCCTGGAATATATGTGGGAAAATTAAAATGCATTTCCCTCATCATTGAGCTCTTTTACTTGAGGAATGAGGGGTAGCAGTGGTGTTTCCTCCCATAACCTGCTGTCACTCTTAATACAGTCAAGGTCCAGCTTCTAAAAGCACAGGACCCAGCTTGCTTGCTTGTTAACACAGGAGTTCCTGAAAGCTCTAATTTTGTAAGCAAACTTGGGAGGGCTACTGTTTTTGTGCATTGACATACATGTATGCTGACCGCAGAAAGGTACTGCTGAAATGGATTGTTAGGAAGTAGATACTTAATGTACATGTAACATATTTAGAGAGTATTTTGCTCTTCCTCAGAGGCAACTGAAAGGAAGTGTAATTAAAGGCAAAAACATATATCCAACTGCAAGGAATATTCTTAGTGCGTTTGTACTTCTATGTATGTTCATAAAACACTTCCATAGTACTTTTCTGAGATCTATTTCCCTGTTTGACTTTTTGGTACTGTGATATTTCTCAGACTGTACCACATATTTTTGGTTGTTCTACTGTCCTGAGTATATGCTAGTTAACCTGTAGGTAGAGATGGGAGAGAAATTTGATTCGGTTTGCATTTAAACCTACCTACCGTATTTTTTGCTCCATAAGGTGCACCTGACCATAAGGTGCACCTAGTTTTTAGAGGAGGAAACAAGAAAAAAAATATTCTGAATCAAATGTTGTAGGATAGGAGTTTTAAGTGGGGAGGGAAGGAAAAACACTGAAGGAACAAGGAGCACGCGTGGGGCGTGTGGAGAAGGAGGTGGCTAATGATGCAGGAGAGGGGTTTAAGGGGAGGGAGGAAAGGAAGGCAAAAGTTCTCTCCCTCCCCCCCCCAGCCAGCCTCCCGCTCTCTCCCCCACCTGCATGTTTTCCAGCTGCCTGCGCGTCCCTGGCATGCTTCCCTAGACGCAGCAGCACCGGAGCACAGAGAGGAGGCGGCGGCGGCAGCTGCCAGTTGCGCTCCTAGCTGCCGGAAGCTGAGCCGTGTGGGCTGGAGCCTGCGCGCAGTGTGGCTAGGAAGGAATTAGCAGGAAGGACACAATCCTTTCCCCTCTGCTTGCTGCGAGGGCAGGGGATTTCCCTGCTCTTTGTTGCATTTGTCTGCCACCAGTCCCCTTGCTTAGCGTGTCTGCTTGCTGCGAGGTGACGGTGCTGCGGCCGGCGCTGAGCAATGGAAGGGGAAAGGATCGTGTCCACCTGCTAATTCCTTCCTAGCCGCGTCACCTCGCAGCAAGCAGACGCGCTGAGCAAGGGGAATGGGCCTTCGCTGGCCCATTCCGAGCAAACACAACAACCGAAAATACAAGAGGGTGGGCAGTAAGACCCTGAGGCAGAGGGCAGGAAAGGAATTCACTGCAGCTGTGTGCTCCCTGCCAGAAAGGGACAAGAGCAAAAGGCGGGGAGCAGCGGCTTAATTTAAACCACCCAGTTAAAACCGTATGCGGTGGGGAGCACAAAACAAAGTAGGAGTTGCAGTTGAATCCTTAGGAAGGCGCTACAATAATTAGGCAAGGGGAACCGGGCTGATGAACAGATGGTAGCCTTGGGATGCTGTACAGCGATCGAGAGGCGCCACACACAAGGACACTCAAACGCCCCCTTTAACCACGCGCTCTCCCGTGCAGCAACACGACTCACACGCCTCCGCACACACACCAAAATATGCCCGATACAGGAACCCCAACAGCCTCCTCTCTGCAGCCTTCCCTCCTCATGACACACGATCCGATTTTTGCCCCTGCACTCAGGCAATTCGGCTTCAGGGACCACACATTCACTCCATAAGACGCACAGACATTTCCCCTTAATTTTTAGGAGGAAAAAAAGGTGTCTTATGGAGCGAAAAATGCAGTAATTTGTACTTTCTAAAACAATACAAGAACCAAAACACAGCCATCCTTCAAAATGAATTTTGCAATGCAGTTATCCATCCAAGTAATGTGTGCAAAAATTCATATACTTGGGTAAAGTGTGCATAGAACTGCATGTATGTAACATGCAAATACACATTATATTAGTAGAAATTGCATTTTTAAAATGTGTCCATTTGGAAGAACATGCACTAATATTCTGATAAATTTAATGAGAACTCAGGGAAAATCCACAAAGTAATGTGGAAATATGGAGAGCTGAACTAAAGATAGGAAAAATGAGAAACCATTTTGGAAAGTTTCACCCATCCCTAAATTTAAGGCTATTTAATCTCTAACCGCTCCTTCAGAAAAGGGAGTTCATGTTCTCATGGTGTGAAGTTCTTCACCTGACAGGTGCTGCCTTGTCCTGTAACAAAAGGCACACACATAACTGTGGTAGACAGATGGTGAAATATTCATAACCATTGGAAATGATAATTTTTGCTCAGTGTCTCTCAAAATAGAGTATTATAATGGAATTCAGTAATGGCAAGTGACCAAACCACAGCAGTCATGGGCAATACAATCCAGGTTCATCACCACATTTGATCCAAATGTGGGTAGGTTTTGAATGACAGGCAATGTTCACTGGTTATACCACCCTTCCATACCTTCATGTTGGTAAGAAATCTTGCAGCCACCAAAAGGGTTTGACATCTGCTGCAATGCTAAATGTTGATAGCCAATTCATGTGTTCAGTATTCCAGGTTAAGCCAGAGTTTCCCCACCTAGACTCCATCAAGCATTCTGTACCTTTAAGAGCTGTGTGGAAGAGAAAATATGCTTTGTGCAGCTTCCACTTCCACTTTACCATGGTAATGGGAAAAAGCTGTGCATGGTGAAATATTCCTTTCCATTCAGTTCTTGTGGGTTCAGGAAACCTCTGTGTAACAATTATAGTCTGTCTGAAAAGCCTACTTAGGATAACGTCAAGACCACCATGGCAAGAGAATTTGTGATCAAATAGAAAGCTCAGTTTTGAATATCACATCCTAATCATTTTGAGTGGGTTAGCTGGCATGTGCCTTACTGCATCACTCTTTTGTTTAAGAAAAACAGAGGTGGGAGGGATGAAGGCAGAAGCACTTTAGATGGTGGGGCCTCAGATTCACAGAGGTCTGCTTGCTACCTGAGCATTCTAGGAGCTGGGTTTGTTTGTTTATTGCATTTGCATACTTCCTTTCTGCCAACTAACCCAAGGTGGAATACAGTTTTAATTTATTAAACCAAATAAATGATATAAGAGGCAGGGGAGGGGACAATCCAACTGAAGCAGCCCTGATGTTAATTTGCCTGCCTACCTCATTCTCTATTTTCCACAGAGCAATTGTTGAAACAAGGTCTGATGTTGCCTTTGGCTCAGGTAGTGTCCATTGTACCTTACTGGGGTGGGTGACTCTCTGATTGGAGCAGGCCCTGATATTATCACAGGACAGAGGATGACTGTTGGTGTTGTGATGGGGAGGGGAGAGGACAGTCCAACTGGATCAGACCCTGATATTGCTTTTGTCTGCCTCCATTAATTCCCACCACCATCACACCATATTAAAAAGGTAAAGATAAAGGACCCCTGACAGTTAAGTCCAGTCGCCAGGCTTTCGCAGTCCAGGAATGACTGTAGCTGTTGAACCAGCCACAGTTATTAAAAGGCTGTTGATGGCCCTCTCATTAATGTGATTTGTAGATGTTTGCTCATACATGGTTGTGTATAATAAAAATAACTTGATAGTTGTTAAACAATCTCTTGTTCTTCTAAAAATAATACATGTATTCTTAGGATAAGAAGATTAATAACTCCAGGGATTCATCTAGCAGATAGAGTATATTAATCACTGCCAGCCTCTCAAAGCTGTCATGTCGGAGCAGTTACTGTTGAATTTATCAAAATTGCCCAGAACATCACAATGACTAATGTCTGCTGGAAATAGAATAATAATTCTCAGTTTGGGATTTAGGTTTTAGGACTTTTTAGAGCTGTGTTTGCGCATAGTACCTTTGAGATCAGACTGCAGAGGCTTTTTCTCAATAGCAAGTATGCCTTTTGGACTTCATAACAATGAGTCCTCTCTTTATTCTAATTCAGTGTTACTAATAATACTGTAAGGGCTGGTGCTCTGGAGTCAAGCTGGTAGTTGCACCACAAAGCAAGTGACTGGTTTGTGAGCAGCTCAAAGTAAGAAGTTAGACCAGTGTCAGGTGCTAGATTATAGGCACAGATTATTGGCCCTTGTGTTATGCTTTGCTAGCAACTCCAGTGTCACACTTCTGATTATCTGCAGTTTGGACACTATTTACACAAATTCTGTCTGCAACTGTATGGAAGCTTACTGACAGATTATGAAAATTAATGTCATCCTCTCCCCTACGTTTGTGTTATCTGTGGTATCTTGCAATGCTCTGAACCAAGCAAGCAAACAATGCTCAACAGAGACATGACAATGGTCAAGACTGTAGGTTGGGTTCCACTCAGGGACACAAAATAGTTCAAGTAAGGCACA